TTCGAGTGGAACTTAACTTCTCGTGTTATGGTCGGTCCTAGCTGTGAAGGTGTTATACCGGAACATACCTATTCTATTGTTGATAGACTCTCCCACCTATAATAAGTAGTAGTAGCAGCAGTCGCCAGAGGGAGCTCTCAGTGAGTTGGTGAGTCAGTCGATGTCGGACATTAAAGTATCAACCACCACAACTAGATTGCTGCGTCATTAACTTTTATTTCAAGTTCCTAACGTTTTGTACGTCGAACCTTGTTTAGGACCGACTTAGTGAAATACAAGCCTCCACTGTGAAAACTACTCTACAACAGAAGGTTAGACTTACCAGAACGAAAGAATGTAGTTCATCCAAGCACTTTCATTGGAAGTAGCGATACAGCTGTTAGAGACTCACCACATCCCACCTGTGAGAGAGAGTCTAGAGGGTGGGAAATAATTCTAAGATTGTAGTGATCGGGCAAACATTCTCTTGGGTGTCTGTTCCATGAGGCAGTGGTTTGCGGGAAGAAGCTGCTTGAGTAGAAACTACTTCTCACCAATGGAATACTGAGGGAATGTGAGTGGTTTTACTACTAGGTAAGTGGTATGGCGGGTTCTAGCCGTGAAGATTAGACCATGTGGAATCAAGGAATGTAGTTCACCCGAGTAATTTGCATGGAAATAGCAATAGAACAGTAAGAAACTTGCAACATTCCGCCTGTAAGAAAGAGGTTGAAGGGTGTAAAATAAGTAGGAATCGGAGACAATTTTGAACTCTATCTATCTATCTATCTATCTATCTATCTATCTATCTATCTATCTCATTCTGTTCATTCTATCTGTGTGTCTATCTCTCTCCTTCTGTTCATATCTATCTATCTATCTATCTATCTATCTATCTATCTATCTATCTATCTGTTAATCTATCTCATTCTATCTATCTATCTATCTATCTATCTATCTATCTCTATCTCTTTCTGTTCATATCTATCTATCTATCTATCTATCTATCTATCTATCTATCTATCTATCTATCTATCTATCTATCTATCTCTTTGTTAATATATTCCTTCTGTTCATATCTATCTATCTATCTATCTATCTATCTATCTATCTATCTATCTCTTTCTGTTATCTATCTATCTATCTATCTATCTATCTATCTATCTATCTTCTGTTAATATATCTCTATTCTGTTCATATCTATCTATCTATCTATCTATCTATCTATCTATCTATCTATCTCTTCCTTTTTTCCTGATTTTTAAAAAATTGTATTTTATGTCGTATAAAGTTCAGATATTATGTCAGAGACCGTTCTAAAATCTGTAAGTTTATTAAATATATATAAATTATTTGTGTTCCAATCTATCTATCTATCTATATTTATCTATCACATTTTGATCCCATCTATCTATCTATCTCCCTCCCACCCCCTCTCTCTCTCCATATATATATATATATATATATATATATATATATATATATTGTATATATCATCTTGTTCTATCTATCTATCTATCTATCTATCTATCTATCTATCTCCCCCCCCTCTCTCTCTCTCTCTCTCTCTCTCTATATATATATATATATATATATATATATATATATATATATATATATATACAGTGAAACCTTGGTTTTCGAAGGTCTCCCATGTCGAATAGAATATTCGAGATGAAAATACCCCGGTTATCAAACAAAATTTTGGTTCTCGAACAACATTGCCAAACCGACCAGAACCGAGTTAACCCGAACGGAATCATTTCTTCGTCGACTGCCATGTTGTATACATTCATGTGTTGTGCTGTGCTTTTCTTTTCCAATTTTGTTGTACTGTGACCTTTTTTCTCTTCATTAGTCCTTATTTATGCCTCTAAAGAAAGCTAGCAGTGATATTGGTAAAGGAAAAAGAAAATTCAGGAGAAAAACAATTGTTGATGATATTGTCTCTATGATGATGATATTGTCTCTTCCTATTCAGTTTCATATGACAAAATCAACGATCTATACTATTCTTATAAATAAAGAAAAGATCATGTCTTTCCTTTCCTTTTCCAAACAATAACATCTCTTTCCTTCCCCTTCCATTTACCCCATCAACTCTCCTACATTCAGGTACGGTAAAATTGAAGTGATCCTCTACATTTTATCTGTTTAGTATTGTTTGTTTTTTTTTCTTAAGATTTAATGATTTTCATTAGTTTTATGTATAAACTTGTGCACAAAATACTAATGTTAAAGCTTAAATAAACAATCATCTTGGAACCAGGAACAGATTAATCCATTTTACATTGATTCCTATTAGAAAAAATGATTTCGTTTTACGAACATTTCGGGTTACGAACAAGTTTCAGGAACGAATTAAATTCGTGAACCGAGTCTCCGCTATATATATATATATATGTGTGTGTGTGTGTGTGTGTGTGTGTGTGTGTGTGTGTGTGTGTGTGTGTGTGTGTGTGTGTGTGTGTGTGTGTGTGTTTGTGTGTGTGTTTATGCAGCGTATTTTCTTTCAAACAGGTTTGGTTAAATTATTTAGATATATTATGTCTGTTTATTTTAGTTATTATCCTTTCAAGTCTACGAATTTATTTCTTGGTAGCCATAGAAAATTGAAAAGTATTTTCAGTTACTATCTATCTATCTATCTATCTATCTATCTATCTATCCGTTTCAGTCTTTTCAGATCTGTCTATTTGAAATCTGAATTTCGAGGGAAATAAATAAAAAATTCCGAAAGATAATGATATTTTCCAAATACAGGCGATATGACTAATAGGAGTCTACTATGCTTTAAAAATCAGTAATCTATATACTGAATATATATTATTTAGTATTAGGTCATCCCAATTGGAATGTCGTATTTTGGCGAATAAAACAACACAAAACAATTTTATTTAATGAAAATGCACTTTTATTTAACCAAAATAATGTCCATTTTGTTGTATCTTTTCCCAACATAAGCTGTTTATACCATTTTTTTAAAAACATTTTCCTTTTTTACCTAAACAAACTGTTCTAATGCTTCGACTACTTCGTCAGTATACGAGGATCTTCTATTGCGTATAGAAAGCCCATGGTGTTTCAATATGCTAATGCTAATGGTAATATCAGATACATGGTAATGGCGAGCAATCTACGTGCGAGTGATCTACTACTCTGGACGCAACCATGGTTAATACTGGTTGGTCGCCCAGCAACCACCTACATTGACCAGCTATGTTATGACACAGAATGTCTCCCTAATGACCTTTTGACCTTGATGCAGGACCGTGATGGTTGGCGTGACAGACTCATCAATGTCCGAAAAAGATAGATCCATGAAGAGAGCTCAATATATATATATATATATATATATATATATATATATATATATATATATATATATATGCATGTTTCATTAAAAACGACAGACAAAATACTACGGTTGAGCTTTTTATTTAATTTAATTGTGTATGTTCGGTGTGTGGTAGTGATGTTTTTACCGAACATACACAGAACACACACACTCTACTAAGCTGATAATCGAATCATCCTTGATAATGGCTAAAGGTATAGCCGAAAGCGCTCGGAAATACAGAACATTCGGACAGTTCTTACACACTCTTTGTCCAGAAAAGAAAGCTCTTGTCAGAACACAAGAAAAATTAAATAAAAAGCTCAACCGTAGTACCTTGTCTGTCGTTTTTAATGAAACATGCATAAAGGAAGGATTGCTGCCTAAATATACAAATATATATATATATATATATATATATATATATGTGTGTGTGTGTGTGTGTGTGTGTGTGTGTGTGTGTGTGTGTGTGTTAGATAATTGTTTGACAAAGTGGAAAAACGTTCTATGTAACGCATTTCGTCCCCTAAAGGGACTTCAAACTAAAAAGTCATGTTTTATGTAGAGGGAAAATGGAGGAGATAAGAACGTAAATGTCTGTCTATATTTCTGAGATGAGGTATTATGTACACTATTTACATTATTCGGACTATTGTCCTCATCTTTGTCGCCATATTTATTACAGCGTTTCGGCCGTTGTACGCTCTGGCCTTCTCCAGGTGGTTGGAACTAGAACAGTCTACCCCAGTGAGCGAAATAAAGGGATCAGTTAGACATTTCAACCACCTGAAAAGGCCGGAGCCTACAACGGCCGAAACGTTGTAATAAATATGGCGACAAAGGTGAAGACAATAGTCCGAATAATGTAAATAGTGAACGTAAATGTCGCTTATAATTTCGTGTTCATACTTCATTTGTTTAAATTGTTTTTTTGTTTTTTTAATTTGAGCTGGTTTAATCACTGGAATTCAAAGAAATTTCAATTGATTGATTGATTGATTGTATGTTTTCCTTTGATTTTTTTTTTTTACGGCTTTCCAAGGCTTTGCGGGTTTGTGAAAACCGAAAACTATTTTATTTTGAAGGAAGTCGCATACAGTAACCGGTGTTCTTAAGCGGATCCTCTGCTAAATACTTATCCGGCTCGAACCCGGTGAAATTTACTGTTTTCAGCGAAGGCTACATATTGCGGATGATCGGAAAGAATCCGCGTTTCCCTCGATGAATTACGATGAAGATTGTTTGTAAAACACGCACAGGGCTTTTATTATTATTATTATTATTATTATTATTATTATTATTATTTATTCTGAGTTGAACTGATACGCTCAGTCATCAGCATCATCATTATCATCATGGAAAACCATGATCCCCCATATCCTGAAAGAACAGGGCCCATAAAAGAAGATGAATTTGATTGGCTCTGGTTTGTCTTGCTGACAGCAATGAATGGGAAGGATCCGGTTGGTTAATACAGTGTAACCCGGATATAAGAGACCCGGATATAAGAGAAACCCGGATATAAGAGAGATTTTCTCTGGTCGCAAATTAGAGCCTGAGTAAATGTATATAAATTAGACCAAACCCGGATGTAAGAGAAACCCGGATATAAGAGACTTCTTCTCCGGTCCCGACAACTCTCTTATATCCGGGTTACACTGTATCTACTTCACAGTGGAACGACAGCCACATCACGATGAAACACCGGTTCTCGTACGTTCACCGAAGTTAAGCAACGTCGAGCCTGGTCAGTACCTAGATGGGTGGCAGCTTGGGAATACCAGACGCTGTACGCTTGGATATGCCGGTGGTATAATAGACTTACGGCCACATCACGTTGAAACACCGGTTCTCGTAAGTTCACCGAAGTTAAGCAACGTCGAGCCTGGTCAGTACCTAGATAGGTGACCGGTTGGAAATACCGGTGTTGTACGCATGTACCTTCCAGCCGCACCGGTTCTCGTAAGTTCACCGAAGTTAAGCAACGTCGAGCCTGGTCAGTACCTAGATAGGTGACCGGTTGGAAATACCAGGTGTTGTACGCATGTATATGCGGGTGGTATAATAGGCTTACGGCCACACCGGTTCTCGTACGATCACCGAAGTTAAGCAACGTCGAGCCTGGTCAGTACCTAGATAGGTGACCGGTTGGAAATACCAGGTGTTGTACGCATGTATATGCGGGTGGTATAATAGGCTTCCGGCCACCGGTTCTCGTACGTTCACCGAAGTTAAGCAACGTCGAGCCTGGTCAGTACCTGGGATAGGTGACCGGTGACCAGGTTGTAAATGGTACCGGGGTTCTCGTACGTTCACCGAAGTTACGCATGTATACCTAGATAGCCAGGTGGTATAATAGGCTTCCGGCCACACCGGTTCTCGTACGTTCACCGAAGTTAAGCAACGTCGAGCCTGGTCAGTACCTAGATAGGTGACCGGTTGGAAATACCAGGTGTTGTACGCATGTATATGCGGGTGGTATAATAGGCTTACGGCCACACCGGTTCTCGTACGTTCACCGAAGTTAAGCAACGTCGAGCCTGGTCAGTACCTAGATAGTTGACCGGTTGGAAATAACAGGTGTTGTACGAATGTATATGCGCCCGCACCGGTTCTCCTATTCAAAGTTAAAGCAACGTCGAGCCTGGTCAGTACCTACGGTGACCAAATACCACCGCATGTTCTCGTATAATGGGCTTACGTTCTCGTACGAAGTTAAGCAACGTCGAGCCTGGTCAGTACCTAGGATAGGTGACCGGTTGGAAATACCAGGTGTTGTACGCATGTATATGCGGGTGGTATAATAGGCTTACAGCCACACCGGTTCTCGTACGTTCACCGAAGTTAAGCAACGTCGAGCCTGGTCAGTACCTGAATAGGTGACCGGTTGGAAATACCAGGTGTTGTACGCATGTATATGCGGGTGGTATAATAGGCTTCGGCCACACCGGTTCTCATACGTTCACCGGGTTAAGCAACGTCGGCCTGAAACCCTGATGGGTGACCGGTTGGAAATACCAGGTGTTGTACGCATGTATATGCGGGTGGTATAATAGGCTTCCGGCCACACCGGTTCTCGTACGTTCACCGAAGTTAAGCAACGTCGAGCCTGGTCAGTACCTGAATGGTGACCGGTTGGAAATACCAGGTGTTGTACGCATGTATATGCGGGTGGTATAATAGGCTTTCTCGTACGTTCACAAGTTAAGCAACGTCGTTCTCCTGAATGGGTGACCGGTTGGAAATACCAGGTGTTGTACGCATGTATATGCGGGTGGTATAATGCAACGTTCTCGACGATCACCGAAGTTAAGGAGCCTGGTCAGTACCCAGAATGGGTGACCGGTTGGAAATACCAGGTGTTGTACGAATGTATATGCGGGTGGTATAATAGGCTTACGGCCACATCGGTTCTCGTACGTTCACCGAAGTTAAGCAACGTCGAGCCTGGTTAGTACCTAGATGGGTGGCAGCTTGGGAATACTGCGTGCAGCAAACTTCGATGTGAGAATCGTGTAATAAATAACAGCTTGGAATTTGAAATCGGAGAGCTGAATTCCAATTTTAGTCAGGTTCGTTTTTTTCATTTACGCGAAATTACCCTTGAGAAATTTATGAATTCACCTCCCCCTCTTAGTTATTGGTTAATTAGTAGGACCTATTATCTGTAAAAAAAAAAAAAAAATTCTTACATATTCTTTAATATTCTGTAAAAGGTTGATACACATAATACCTGCTCTCAGAAAAAAACAAATCAATCAATCATGAAAGGATTTCATAAAACGTAAGATTTTTTTTTGCGTCAACCTAATATTTTCTTTGAAGGAAACATTTTAAAATCATCTTCTGTCATAATAAAATGATCAGTAATACATTATTATGGCAAAATGACAATAAAACACTAAAACGGTATAAAGATGCATTTTTATCGTATAATTACCAGCAATATATTTTTTATAAAAAATTATATTTTCTGTGCCTCAGTAAATTTTTAAAAAAATAAGGTACTCCAAAATTCGCTTGAGGATGAAATGGAACTAATGTTTTTAATTTAATTACAAAATTAAATTCGAAGCTTTTAGCTTCCATTTTTGAAACATGGTTATTACTGTGTAGCGAAAAAAAACATATTGTAAATCAGTTAATTTATAATATTAATGCTCTGTAAATTTACATTGAGCACTATTTTGTAAAAATAAAAATATCTATAAGAACATCGGATTATATATCTTACTGTTCTTTCATATATATATATTATATATATATATATATATATATATATATATATATATATATATATATATATATATCCTTGTATCCTATGTACTAACCAGTATTTGGCTTCAATTCTAGTGGACTAACAACGAAGTTTAATCTTACTGTTCTTTCTTTTTATTTACACACACACACACACACACACACACACACACATATATATATATATATATATATATATATATTATATATATTTAAATTGGCAATACTTTTATCATCTACAAACTATATATCTAAAAACATACGTTTGCCCTGAAAGTATACAATTATGTACAAAATATCTGTAGTTGAAAGCATAAAATTGCGTTAAAAATATTGAGAACAAAAAAAAAACATAGATAACCTAAAGAGTTTGATATGCCACTAAACGAAATCCACCATCCAACAAAATATCAACGAAGCTCTCACCTCGAGGCCATTGTTTTATCCAAATTATAAGCTAATATTTTCTTGTGACAAATCTTCAAAAAAAAAAAAACATCACTTATCTTTTTTTTCTGTCTGTTTCTTCATATCAAGAATTGTTCCACTCATTCGGCAATGTTTAGTTGGGCTGAAAAGAGAAAATCGCTAATTCGATACAGTCATTTAATTAGAACCAGCCTCTTGAGTTTGGCTCATTATCTCACCAACTGACAACAACATTCCTTTCACCCCTACTCCCAAAAAATGGAATAGCAAATCGCTCAAAAAAATAATATTAAGAGATAACATATACATATTTTCTATCTATTGCTCTGGGCGATCGTTTGGGACTCCTTTTTTTTTCCAACCACCTTCATAACCACGGTTTCTGTACTCCGTCTATCAGAACATGTACTTTTTTTTTCTCTATTCGACGTGATAGCTAACATAGATTATTCAGTTGGCTTAATCTGGAAGAGCTAGTGCATAATCGGCAGGCTGTCCAAGATTACAACACTTGGATCACCTTTCAACCTGAATGCACATCTAAGCGATAATGCCTCAGTTATATTTTACCGAATTTTGGATGGTAAGTTTACATTTCCCAGCGCTGAGACTAAAAGTAAATTATTAAGTTCTTTTTCTTTGTTTTATTTTTTATTTTTGCATTTCTGTGATGTTTAAAAGCACACGAAGAAGGAGATAATGAAGCGTAGTGAAAGAAAGAAATAGACGATGAAATCCAGTTAGCCTGAGAAAAATAATAATCTTATATGTAAAAAGACAGAATAAAATTAAGCAATATGGGAACAAGATATGAGAAGTATTTTATAAGCGATAAAATCAGCTAGGAAGAAAGTAAGCCTAAAGGAAAGGTCTAAAGTTAAAGAAAGAAAGAAAGAAAGAAAGAAAGAAAGAAAGAAAGAAGAAAAAGAAAGAAAAAGAAAAAAAGAAAAACAAAAAAAAAAAAAAGAAAAAAAAAAAAAGAAAAGAAAAGAAAAAAAAAAAGAAAAAGAAAAAAGAAAAAAAAGAAGAAAAAGAAAAAAAGAAAAGAAAAAGAAGAAAAAAAAAAAAAGAAGAAAAGGAAAAAGAAAAAGAAGAAAAGAAGAAGAAAAAAGAAAAAGAAAAAGAAGAAGAAATTCTAGCCGAGAGAAAGATAAAGAAAAGAAGAAGGTTGTATTGAATAAAAGGAAGGGGGAAAAGAAGTATTGATGAAAGAAAGGATTGGGTAACGAATGAGAAACGAAGAAGGCTGTATCGAAGAAAAGAAAGAATGAAGCAGGTCGTGAGGAAAGAAAGGGTAGATTAATAAAAGAAAAACGAAGAAGGTTGTATCGAAGAATACAAAGAGTAGGGAAGGAAGCAATTCTAACCGAAAGAAAGGAACAGGTATTAAAAAAAAAAAAAATTTAAATTTAAATTCAGTTTTTAATTATTTTTACTAAAGTAAATCGTAAAGAAATTCATTTTTTAATAAAGTAAATTGACATAAAAATCATTCAAAAACACACTCGTTTTTATTTTCTTAACAAAGTAAATTGGCATATAAAAATTTTAAAACACACTCGTTTTTAAATATTTAATAAAGTATATTGACATATGAAGATAATTCAATAAAACACACTCGTTTTTAATTATTTTCTTAACAAAGTCAATCGAAAAATGCAAAAACGAAATGAAGCAGTTTTTTGTTTTTAATTAATTTTAGTAAACTGTAATGTAATTTAATTGTTTAGTATTTTTTCGATTTACTTTAATAAAAAATAATTAAAAACAAAAAAGCTGGTTCATATTTTGCATAATGCTTTTTCAAATGCCTCATCTGAAGTAATATATTCATTAATTAAGATTTTAATCCCTAGTAAATTGGTTTTATTCGGTTGCAAAAAGTTATGTTTTTCTGGTGCTGAGTTTTATCGGTCCTGAGTTGTCATAGTGCTTAGTTGTCCCGGTGCTCAGTCGGCGGTGTTGAGTTTTCCTGCATCCGAAAAGAAAAAAAAAAAGGAAAAAAAGCAACCAACAACCAATAAGAAATTAGTTAAAGAGATTAATCTTCCTTGTCATTGAAAAGAAACATTTGAAACTATCTACCCTCGTAGATTAAATAAAATAACGAATTCACTTCGAAATTTCCTGTAAGTTACCCTGAACGACAGTTACTTGATGAAGGCCGGAGATCACAATGATCGAAATGTTATTATAATAAAAACAACAATAATGAGGATAATAGTCCGAGTGTAAATTATGTAAAGTCTTATAACTCATTCTAAAGATTCAGAGAGAAAGAGAAAACGAGAAATTTTGGAGGAAGAAAAAGATCAAATCGGACAATCTGCTCTACGGCTGAGATTAAGGGTGATGGCCGTCTTTTTGCGGGAATCTTAGGTTTTATCTCATTTTTTTTCTTTTCACTGCTACGGAACGTTCGGGCCAAAACGTCAATCTGTTAACGGTCTAAAATATTGCTATCGGCCTACAAAACGTGGTGACTCTGACTCCACATAACAGCATGTAGTTCCTCGAATTAGCCAAATAAGAACGAAATTATCGCTTGAGAATGGTGGGCGAGTGTTCGAGTGAAAGGGACGGGGTGTTAAAAAAGAGCTCAGAAGGTTTTATCATTCCCCATCAATTGTTTCTATCGTGTCCATCTTTTCGTTCCGATGCTGTTCTCGAGTCACCATTTACCCACATTTTATTTTATTTTTCTTTGCTTTTATTTTATTTTATTTTTTTTTTACCTCCGGCATTTCTATTTCTCAATCTGTCTGAATTCTCAGGTTGGCTTCTCAGGTTTTCGGTGGGTGAGATATTTTTTAATATTTTATTTGCCTCTATCTCTCTCCACATATTTTTTTTTATTTAAATTTTTTTTTTTTCCGAACAATTTTTCATGGGAATTCGTGTTTATCAACATTCATTTCACCATTTTATGACTCATGGCGGTTTATTTATGTGTAAAGTGGCTGATAGGCGGTTACTGAAGACAAATTAGTCAAACGGATTTAAAAAAAAAAAAAAGCCTCTTAAAAATGCATATCTTCAAATGTACATACATACGCACAACAGTTATATGACTTCTTATCTCTTTAAACCAATCATTTCATGTTCAATTCCTGGGGATTATATCCTGATGTAGCACAAATTCTTCAAATTCACGAGTTATTACCGCTTATTTATAATTTCAACTTCTATTAAACCGAAATGCGCAGTATAATAATAATAATAATAATAATAATTATTATTATTATTATTATTATAATTATTATTATTATTATTATATAGGACTACGCAATACACACGGATAGAACGCCCAGAAATTGTTATTAGAGACCGCAAACAAAAAATGCCCCCTTATTGATATGGTAGTCTTTGCAGACTGCAATGTATCTTTGAAGATTTTCAAAAAGCTATCAAAATACAAGGATCTTGAAATCGAAATCTCAAAAATGTGGCACATGGGAACATCAACAATCCCTTTTGTAGTTGGAGCCCTAGGATTGGTTGGAAAAAATTCCAGTAGACTGATTGAAGGGATTTCTGGAATCCCATGCCTTAAAGAAATACGAAAAATGTTCTCACGAGTACAGCCCACACCTTACGAAGGGCTTTATCTATGTAATATATATATATATATATATATATATATATATATATATATATATATATATATATATATGTGTGTGTGTGTGTGTGTGTGTGTGTGTGTGTGTGTGTTTTAATTGGTCAGTGGAAAATGTCATGATACCGTTTTTTAACCTTAGGTCTCTGGGAGGACCCGGAAAGAAATGTGTACACACAAGAAATTAAAGAAAATAATAATAATAATAATAATAATAATAATAATAATAATAATCTTCAAAATACAAGGGCCTTAGAATGGAAATTTAAAAAATGTGGCACATGAAGACAACAAGAAATCCTGTTGTAGTTGAAGCCCTTGGATTGATTGGAAAAGGGTCTGATAGACTCAGTAAAGGGATTTCTGGTTGTCCATGCCTTAAAGAAATGCAAAAAATTGTTGACACAAGTACAGCCCACACTTTACGAATGGCTTTATCTATGTAAAATAATTGTCATTCTCTTTTCAAAACTGCTTAGGTGGAAAATATCATGAAGCTATTTTTGACCTTAGGTCTCTGGTTGGGACCCGGAATGAAATGAGTGAACACCAGAAATCAAAGGAAATAATAATAATAATAATAATAATAATAATAATTGCAATACACACAGCCAGATGAATAAAGATAATAGGCCAGAGATCGTAATCAAAGAACACAAACTAGAATGTGCTTTCTTATTGACATGACAGTTTATGCAGATTTTAATGAATCATTAAAGATCTTCAAAAAACTATCAAATACAAGGATCTTGAAGTGAAAAATGTGGCACATGAGGACATCAACAATTCCAGTTGTAGTGAGACCGCCCGGGTTGATTGGAAAATGTTCCGATAGACTCATAAAAGGGATTCCTGGTAGCCCATGCATTAAGGAAATACAAAAAGTTCTACTCACAAGTACAGCTCACACCTTACGAAGAGTTTTATCTGTGTGAAATATGTTTGATTTTAGGTTGCTTCTTTGAGTGGGGTGGCGGGGAAGAATGTGGAAAAGATGAGTATGCAACAAAAATGAAGGGAAATAATAATTGTAGAATAACAATACAATAAACAGCACTTACCGGCGTAAGGGTCCCAGCTAGCGTCCAGCTGGCAGACAAAAATAAAGCAGGTTGTAACTCAATACACACCCTGCAAACTAACTGATGAATCAAGCTGGTATTTATATAGAAATACCTCCACTCATGTACCAGCAGCCAATCACAGCCCAAGTAATGGACTATCCCATTTTAGCACAATGAGATGCTCCATGGCACCATAAATAGCTCTCTTTCTCAAGGTTGAGTTATTATTCACTCAACTTGCTCCACAACTGAGTGTTTATCTTGACCGCGTGATTGTTCTACAATAATAATAATGGATATAAATTAAACTAGAATTAGTCACTCACCCACTCTCCAAAGACGACAGTAAGTTGAAGGTTCTCTTCAATACTGCAAAGTGTTTCAGTGATGACATAGGTATGGATTTCGGATTAGATAAATGTGCAACAGTAACATTCAAGATAGAGAGAATTATCGAAACCGATAGGTCTAGATTTTGTCACGAAGATTAGGGAACTGGGAAAAGAAGACGCCTATAAATACATAGGAATTAGCGAAAGATATGGAATACAGTATACCCAAATGAAGGAGAAAGTAAGCAAAGAATACTACAGGCGTGTGCATCTGATACTGAATACCAATCTAAATTAAAAAAAAAACAGAATATCAGCCATAAACACCTTAGTTGTCCCTGTTGGGCAATACAGTTTCAACATCCTTAACTGGACTGTAGCTGACCTTAAGCGAATGGACGCTAAAACAAGAACGCTTCTCACTTGCTACTGCGTGCATCATCCCAAGGCTGATGTTGGTCGTCTGTATGTGCCCAGATCCGAAGGAGGCAGAGGATTAGTTCAACTAGAACTACAACACTCAGCCTTTAAAGCTACCTGAAAACTACAGAAGACTGGATGACGATGTGTGGGAAAAAAATATGAACAAAGCAAGAAACTTTATTCAGTAATAAATGAAGTCAACAATTTCAAAATGGAGTTTCAAGTGGGTAAAGAAATGCAAGTAAAACAATACACCGACTGCAGCTGCAAAAACCTTTTAAAAAAAGGAAAACAAAGACAAATGCAATCAACCAGATACGGAAACGATAGCAGGATAAATCTCTTCATAGCCAATATTCAAACCCCTAACAAACAAGTTGATGAAGACAAACCTCTTACTCATCAGTGCTGGGTTAAAAGCTGAAACCAAAGGTTTTATTGTTGCTGTATTCAGGACCGATGCATACTGACTAGAAATTACCAAGCACACATACTGAAAAATTATGTTAGCCCAACATGCAGATACTGTGACAAATATCAAGAAACAATTGATCATCTTGTATCAGGTTCCACGGTATTGGCGCCCACTGAATATAAAACTCAGCATGACAGTGGGCCAATATCTGTATTGGAAAATCTGCAACTTTTACGGCAAGGAAACTGCAAGAAATTGACAGGAATACCTCCCAGTTACAGAGATAGGTCCTGTAACAATTTTATGGGGTTTTACAATACAAATAGTAAGTTAATATATCATTAAGTCCTGTTGGCGAAGGAATTTCGCCATTAATTACATTAACATTGCTATTTAATTCTTTTATAAATTGCGCCCCTGAAGATGACAATTTGAAATTGTCGAAAGTACTTGGCATGTGTATTCCATCTGACAACAACTGGAATATAAGGATCTTATTATTCAAGAAATTGATAGTAAATTGATATCTCATTAAGTCCTGTTAGCAAAGTGATTTCGCCATTAAACACATTAACATTGTCATTTAATCTTTTGTATAAATTGTTTCTTTATAATATTTCTTTGAGGTTTTCTTTTATGATATATATTATATTATTTCTTTATGATGTTTTCTGTATGTATATATATATATATATATATATATATATATATATATATATATATATATATATATATCCCATGTTATAAAATTTATATTGGTGAAACACAATGAACACAAAAGCGATATAAAAATCGAGAATACATTAAATTCATTGCTGATTTCTTTCTTACAAATATAAGTGAAAAAAATGACTCGATCCTGTGTACATGCATGTCACATTGTAAATATTTGAAATGGTTGAGCTAAGGAATATTACTATCGATGGAGCAACAATAGACTTAGCGGTGTTTCCTCTGTAGCAAAGGCGTTGTAGCGTATATTTTTATTCACCCCCCCCCCCACACACACAAGGGGTCACTGAGTGTGAAAGAATTTAAGAAAAATAGAAACATTATTAAGGAGCGAGAACAAAAAAAGGAAAGAGAATTCATAAAGACATTGCACTTATATTTTTGAAGATCGAAATTGGCTGGGAAGAAGGAAGCCGAAAGAGAGTTTCCCAGACGAGAAGTGCGCGAGAAGAAACTGTTAGCATAGAACTTACGGTTGCATCTAGCTCTTTCAACTGTTAAATGATGAGACCTATCCGCCAAACTAGTGCTGAACTTAAATTCATAAAGTTTAGAGTAAAATTCATCAGTTAAATTCATAAAGTCTAGAGGAAAGTTCTCCAGAAAGATTTTCATTAAACTATTTATAGAAAAGGCACAGGGAATCTACATTAAGGCGGTGGGGAAAGGGACTGAAACTGAGATGTCACGACAGGACCAATTATATTACGGATTATTCTTTGAATTTTATGAAGCATCTCTAGATACATAGGTGCACCAGATCTTGCAGAAATATTCAAGACATGGACGAATGGCAGACTTATAAATATATAAAATAGACTCTGGAGGAAAAAAAATGGTCAAGCACGACACATTGAACAAATTTTCCCAGCAGTAGAGCTAGCAATTGATGCAATATAATCTTTCCACTTCAGC